AGCCTGACTTCAGTGGACTGCAGCCCAAGTACTGTTAAACACTAAGCTGACTCAGCCCTCACCCACTGCCAATGACTCCTCCATGTCACTGAAGTTTCTCCCATTAGAATCCTAAGTATGCACACAGAAAGTTCAGCTACATTCTAGGGAAGAAGATGGGAAACAGCAGCTTAGCTTAGGTTTCCTACCCATCAAGGCTTTTGCAGAGTAGACCTTGGAAACTCCTGAGGTAAGGAATACTGGGCTTGGGAGGATGTGACTGTAACATTTCCTGTCCTCACATCCTAACCCATTTAAACTACTAGATAATCCCATCCTGGGTTTCTTCCCATCCTCAACCCCTTTTTCACTGATGCCTATGCAAGGCCCCAACCTGTCCATGGATATGCCTGCTACTTGCTTTAGAAAATATGTAGAGGGCTTGTCTTCTGGGAAGGCAAAATAATCTTGTGGAAAAGCCTCCTAGTTGGCTTTATGTCAAGAAAAAAGGGGAAGGATTGTGGGTTTCCAAATGAGGCCAAGAGCATATAACAAGAAAATTCCGAGTTGGGTGCAGTCACCTCCAGCTCTCAGCAGTTAGCTCAGACTGAGATTTCTGACCGAGTAAATTCCTTAGGAAAAACACCCAGTTCCCCAAAGGTGCTTTTGCTTTGTCTGCCTGTCCTCTTATTTCCTCCTCCTTTGATGTGTGCCCAAAGAACCTCCAGACATATAGAACCAGACTGCAAACTGGAAGTGTAAACTTTTCCTAAGTTTTGAAGCTTTTATCTATTTTAAAATATAGTGCATTCTGATGCTGGAGCAATGACTCAGTAGGTAAGAGCACTGGCTGTTCTTTCTTCAGAGGATTCTGGTTCAATTCCCAGTACCCACACGGTGGCTCACAAGGACTTCTAACTCCAGAGGATCCAGACATACATGTTGGCAAAGCGTAACTTAGAGCTGAAGTAACTCATCTTAATTTTTCTGTTTTTCGAGACAGGTTTTCTCTTGGGCTTTGGAGCCTGTCCTGAACTCAGAGAACCGCCGCCTGCCTCTACCTCCCAACTGCTGGAATTTAAGGCGTGCACCACCAGTGCCTGGCATTCACCTTAATTCAGAAACCCCTACATTGCAGCATGCCTGGTGTGTGGGGCTGGTGGAAAATTGAAGGCTTTCCAGGTTCTGCTTTCACACAATCAAGGATTCTCAATCCTATCAGATCTATCAGGTCAAATCCTCCTTCAGTACCCCCTCCAACAAGTTTCTCTGTACTAGTCCCGATTGTCCTGGAAATTGCTCTATAGACCAGGCTGGTCTCGAACTTGCTACCACTGCCCAGCTCTTAACAGCACCATTACTATCACAACACAAAACTCATAGCTAACATGACCTATATAAATGTAATACAGTTTATAACAAGCCACATGCCTAACACCTGTACATAGAATTACCGTGAAATTTGGTTACATAAATACTATGTCACAGATCCTACTGAATAGATGTCATTAAGGGTTTTGAAATGAACAAGTGTCACTGAACCTGAAGCCTGCTGATTCCTCAAGGCTGGCGGATCAGTGAGCACAATGAATCCTCCTTGTCTCTACCTCCCCAGTGCTGGGATTACAAGCATTTACCTACCATCACACCTGACTTTTTTTCATGAAGGAACTTGTTCATTTCAAAACCCTTAATCATAACCACACGCCACCACCATGTACACCTGTCTTTATTGCATTAAGGCTCTTGGCTAGCCAGGCACACTGACATACACCTGAGATGAATTCTACCATCACACCTGACTTTTTTTCATGAAGGAACTTGTTCATTTCAAAACCCTTAATCATAACCACACGCCACCACCATGTACACCTGTCTTTATTGCACTAAGGCTCTTGGCTAGCCAGGCACACTGACATACACCTGAGATGAATTCTTGGGTGCATAATGGATTATAGGCTAGTCTGAGCTACAGGAGACCATCTGAAGATCAAAACTGGGCTTTGGGAAGATGCCCTTGGTTGTCTGTCTCCTGCAATGTATGTCAGCTTCTAAAATGCAGTTGTCTCACCATTGTTACTTGTAGCATTCTGCTGTTTTTTGAGGATCAATGAGGCATTTATCTTAATTGTTCTTTAACAGAAGTTGGGGAATGAGGTATGGGGTAAGAATCTGAATGATCTGAGCAGTGGTGAAGCGATCAGTGACCACACCCCTATGGTTCTTCCATCCAAAAGGACAAGAGACCCTCTCGAAGCCCTGCTGTACTGTCCGCTCAAAAACTTCTATGGCTAATTTTGGTCAGCTTGTAGCTACCTCCGCCCTTGGATTCAAAGCAAAATTTTTTTTTTTTTTTTGGTTTTTTGAGACAGGGTTTCTCTGTAGCTTTGGTGCCTGTCCTGGAACTAGCTCTTGTAGACCAGGCTGGTCTCGAACTCACAGAGATCCGCCTGCCTCTGCCTCCCGAGTGCTGGGATTAAAGGCATGCGCCACCACCGCCCAGCTTCAAAGCAAATTTTATCAGCAGTCTTGGGGAGGGTCAGAATGAGATCAAAATATGTATAACAGGTCAAAGTCTAACTTAGAGTGATAGCTAGGTACGATCCTCAGCCTGTTCAAGTTAGATCCTTGCATTCTTAGGATTCCTACCAGAGGAACCTTACATGAAAGGGGAAAAAGGTAGGGTTTGGCCCATTGCAGTCAGAAATACTCTAGTTTTACCTGTTCTCTCCCTTGTAATACTTCAAAAGTTCTTGTCTTATGATCTTCACTTTTTTTTTTCAAGTTTCTCTAGTTTTGCAGTCTGTCCTGCAACTAGCTCTTGTAGACCAGGCTGGCCTTGAACTCAGAGCCACCTGTTTCTGCCTCCCAGGTGCTGGGACTGAGTGCACCACCACCACCAGATGACACTTCTATAGCATCCCTTATTCTACCAAAGCTTATTCCCCCTCACTGCTAAGGATACAATGTTTCAGAGCAGCTCTCAGTATATTTTCAAACTAAGAACCTGTGGGAAGCCAGGTCAGGGAGCTCAAGCCACCAACCAGGTCAGTTTTTGAAGACCTTCATGGCTTTTAAGATTTATTGTGTGGGGTTGGAAAAATGGCTTAGCAGTTGAGAGCATTGGCTGCTCCTTTCAAATTCCCAGCAACCACATGGTGGCTCACAACCATCTATGAGATCTGCTGCCCTCTTCTGGCCTGCAGGCACACCACTATACATATAACAAATCTATCTTGTTCTTGTCTTACCTACTGTTTACCTCTTTAATTTTGAAGCTACCCTGTTGCTTTTTGGAGAACTTTAGAAAACAGCATTCAAATTTTGTTCCACAATGATCTATGGAATTTTGGGGCAGAATTATCACAGCTGCCAAATTTTTGATGGAAAAAAAGTATCCTTTCACGTACTTTGTGTCCTCAAGTGACTTTCACAACTAGTGTGACTTGAAGAAAAGATCATTGGCCAGCAGTTTTACGTAAAAGCTCTTGCTATGCAATCCTAACAAGTTCAATTCTAGGAACTCATGTACAAGACTACAAAATTGTCCTGATTCCCACCTGCACACAGGCATACCCATCATACACATCACTGTGTCCAGTCAGTACTAGGGGTGACATAGAATACTGCAATTTTGTCAGACATAGTGGGTTTTGTACTCAAAAACTTAAAAATGAACTTCTTGTGAACTAAGAGAATCCTTTGGTTAGTTTAACATTTCAAAAGTTTCACAGGTATAAACAAGTTTTAAGACCAAGCACCCTTAACAAAAGCTATTATCCTAAGGGATTGGCAGACAAGGATGAGTTCTGGATCTTGCCTCTGTGGAAGGAGCACATCCCAAGCCCAGATGGCTTAGACTTTTCAATAGGAAAGTACATGTACTTTAAAATTTGTCCAGCTCTGATAGCCTTCTACCAACTATACTGCAAACCTTTCCCATAAAGGAAGGCCTGACTCAGACCCCAGCATTAGGTAGAGACACGACAATGAGCTGCAGCCTATGCAGAGATTATGGACAGCAGCGCCAATTCCCAACTGTTGTCAGAGGTATGCCAACAAGCTGGAAAGCTCAGGCTGTGCTAAATTCTTAACATTAGTCAATGTTTTCTGCCATTTATGTCTGCTCACCATTTCATAACAACAGACCATACAACTTCATGCTTAGTACAGGTTGTTCTGTCTGAACACTAAACTATGTAGTATAAATGTTTAAAACGTCAATGTTGAAATTGCATTCATTTTGACTTAATTACCAGCTTTTAGCCCCTTTAGCAATTGGGTGCACGCTAAGTAAAAGCAGGGAACCACAGGCACTAAAAACTAAAAGAATTTCATTCTTGCAGGTCGTTAGATGACAGTCGGTAACAGAGCCCCAGCGATCAGTTTCCACTTCACTGTCAGCACCACTCCCAAATCAGTAATCAGTTCCATACCATTTCATCTGAGACCAAACTCACTCTTCCTGCCCACCCTCTTTTCCTGGCCCCGCTCCAAGCCTAGTAGCCCAGTAATGAGCCACTATAGGAAACTTTTTGGTAGGAATCTAGATAGCAGAATTTCACATTTTCTGAAAACTAACCCAACCTGACTCCTGGTCCAAAATACTTTAGTTTTTGAATCAAACCATCTCATTATGTGGCCATAATACTGCACAAAGCAGGCTGGCCTCAAATCCAAGACCCACCTACCCCTGCTTCCAGAGTGCTAGGATTTATAAGGCATGCGTTGCCAGGTTGTTAGAATTTTTCTTTACGATGCATTTTCAGCTAAAAGTAATGGTGTTTGTCAGTTTCTTGACTAGCAAGACCCATGTACTATATATACATAGGGACATAATGAATGTATGATTGCTGCAATCTAAGCCACTCGAGTACACACGCATACACACACACAGGCGCACGCTTTGAGATGGCCACACTGACTGAAATCCACACCTGACATTTTTCTAGGACCTATTAGACAGGTCCCGCATACTGACAAGGATGCATAGAAATGTAACCAAAGAACCTACACTCAGACCGCTTGGAAAGTGTTAGCATTTAATTGGCCTCCCTGAGTGGCTTCAAGCCACCAGAACACAGGCACCTCCAACACCCTTTATCTTCTCTTCAGCTCTTCTGCTGAAAAATTTAGCTTTCACGATGACAGGCTGCTTAGGGAGCTTTCCCTTCCCCAGAACTTTGTAGTAGCCCTAGAAGAGAAAAAATATTCTTAATACATTACAGCAGATACTAAACATCCCAGGATGCAGGTAGGACTTGTTCTCCTTTTTGAGGCAGTCTGTGTAACCTTGGCTGGTCTGGAACTCAAATGTAGGAATGGCCTCACAGAGATCCAACAACACATCCATAGTGCTGGGATTAAAGCATGCACTGCCATGGGTCAGCTCAGGTAGGACATGTTTCTGATCTGGGCACTAACAGGGACACTGAACACCCCTACCAGTGAATCGAGACCAGCAGATTCTCTTCGAGAACTCTAGCACACCAGGACAACCACCATGTCGGGATGTGACTCTAGTCTCGGCTAAACACATACCTCCCCGCTCTGCAGGTACCTCCACTAAATAGGCTGGGAATGGAATTATGGCTACACACCTATGGTGTGGGTCTCTGCACTTAAGCAGTGATGGGGGAAAAGCACTCTTCTCTATATAGGGCCTTGAATGAACACTGTGAAAGAATTATGTACCCATGTTAAAACCAAACCTGTTAGAATCAGCATAAACATAGGAAAGCTTATTTACTGAAATGATAGCTAATATTTGTTTGAAATGAAAGCAAATTTTGGAATATTGCAATAAATTTTCCATAAAGCAAAAAAAAAAGTGATGTGCTTTTGGAATATTGCAATAAATTTTCCATAAAGCAAAAAAAAAGTGAAATGAAAGCAAATAATTAATGTGTTCTCAGAACTCTCCACATTTAAGGACCAAAGAGAGGGGGACAAATGCTTGTTGGAACCAATTTAATTACCTGCAACAATTCTACTAAAATGAGGGTTCTCTAATCGGCAATGCCAAATATATGTAGGTTTGGCACCAGAGGAGATAGAGGATAAAACTACAAGTTCCCTTAAAGATAAGGAGCACACCAATTCACTCACCGATCGCACGACATCAATGATGGGAGCAACTCCAGTCTTGTTCTTGGCAGCGTTGACCCGGGTCTGCTCACTGACCAGTGTCCACAGTTTATCCAGGTTGACAGTCGGGCAGAAGCTCTGGTTCCTCTTTAAGTGGTAATGCCTCATCCCAACTTTCCCGAAGTAACCTGGATGACTGGGAAGAGAAGGCAAGCACCTTCAGAGTCTCCCTCCCTGCAAGCTTATCTTTGAGGTTCTCTCTTCTTAGTGCAATGTTAATTTTCACCGTCGTAAACTTTGACACAGCAGAAACTCGAAATACACTGAACTAGATCTTCAGTAGCTTCTCTCACTAGCACCCATTTCAAGAGGATCCCTAAACGCCATCCTCTAATGGCTGGATAAAAGCCAACCTAACCTCCTTACTTATGCATGTTACTAACCTGGTGACTGACCGTGTCAGAAAGTCCACAGCCAGTGAATAAGGTCAGCAGTTATTCTTCGAGGACTCTAGCACACCAAGGCAACAATCAATACCTGAGCGTGACTCTAGCCTCGGGCAGGTTCTGACACATCAAGTTGCTAAAGCTAGCAGTAACCTAAGTCAAGAAATCGATTTCCGAATGTTCTAAGTTACCCTCTCTGTCCCTACCTCCAAAGCCGCCGCTGTCAGTTAAAAACCGACCTCCAAGAAACACTCACTATTTGTCGAAGTTGATCCTGTGATGATGCATGCCTCCAGCGTTCCCGCGTCCTCCCGGATGCTTGCGGTGTTTACCTGCAAACATGCAAAGCTACATGGCTATCAGCCTTCTCTAGATGGTCACTTTCTCGACGTTCCACATCACAGCGCTGTGCTTAACTTTCACTCCGCTACCAACATAAAATTATCTTAAATTGCACTAGAGAATCTTTAAATAGGGAGAAACTGCTGTTCAATCCGACTGGCAACAAACAGTTTTTTCTCTACTCGCGTCTAAGTTGTTCAACTGTTCAGTAAACACCCAAAAACACAGCCCAAAGGCCTACCACGAAAGAGGCCCACACTTACCGATGCGGCCATGGCCGTGGCTCACGTGGCCCCGGAGTTTCCGGGTCTTCCTCAGTCTGGATGGCTACACAGGAAAAACAGCAAAGTGGTTAGGCCTACGAAAAGGGTAGGCAGGGGTGAGCAACGCCTGCTGCCTGAAATATGCCTACAATCAAGGACTTGCCTTCTGGAGCACTCAGCAAGGTTGAAGTTACCCGACGGGGCCGGACGCCCAAGCCCGCGTGTATCAGGGATCCGAACTCCGGCTGGAACACGCGGCCCCAGGCTCCTCGCCCCAGACCCATGCGTGCCATCCCCCGCCCCGCAAGCTACGCGTAGCCATGAAGACCCACTAAGATCAGGGCAAGCAGCTGAGATGTAGAGAAGGAGAGCTCCGAACCGCCGCGAAGACGCGGAGGCCAAGAAAGGAAGACCTACCATGGCGGTGGCAGAAAGGAAAGAGGGAGGAACCAGCGAAGTATCGCGAGGTAGCAAGTGTAGGGGCGGGACGAATGCATCATTTCCGGCCAGGAGGCTGGCCTTGGGCGGGGCTGCGCTGACATCGACTTCCGGCGGCCGCCAGCCGCTTCCTTTCCGTGTAGGAGGGCGGGGTTTCCCGCGGGCGCCGGCGTCTCGGAGCAAATCCTAGTAGCGGCGCAGCAGGCGGCGCGTTCAGATCACCCTGCTCTGTTCCAGTTATGTGTTTTGCTGACTCCCGGCCTTTGGGAAGCTGCCTCACGGCCTCTGCCCTCCCTTGCGTGGGCACTACCCTTCTCCTTGCCTCTTGTCCCATCTTTATGGTCGTCCTGTCAAGTTTGAACAGCCTGCTGTGCTTCAGGAATCTAGATTTCGTAAATATTTTGTATAAACACCACGTTTAAATTTTTTTCAGAACCTGGCAGATACGCTCTCACTGGGACCCGAGGTTCCCAGCCCAGTGTGCTCCTGATGGGAGCATTTCCGGTGTGGGCCTTCTTGGACCTGTTTTGTCTGTTGGTTCCTTGAATCACCACACAATCTTGCACGTAACTCTCTTCATTACCAAGTTAATTTGTCTCCCAGTTGATCCCAAATACTTTAAAGGTTCAAGGACTGGCCATTTTTGTTTGTTTGCTTTTTTTTCTCTTTAAATCCATGAGTTCCTAGTGTGTAGTAATGTTTATTAAGAATTCAAAAGTGCTCCAAGTGCCCTGTGTGTGCTAATTTTTTTTTGTCTTGTTTCGCCAAAGAATATTCTAGCCAAAATACCCTAGATCCTCCTTATCTCTGTTAGGACCCTTTTCCTTTCTTCAGCCAAACTCCCCAGAGTTTGCAATGGAAATCTTGTCCATTTGCTAGCTTCTTTGTTCAGTGTTTTTTATTGTTGTTGTCGGTTTGTGTGTGTGTGTGTGTGCTTTTTTTGCTTTATTTGCTTTTTCAGACAGCATTTTACTATGTAGCCCTGGCTATCCTGAAACTATTCTGTAGACCAGGCTGGTCTGGAGCTCAGATCTGCCTGCCTCTGCCTCCCAAATGCTGGGTTTAAAGGCATGCACCATCACCCAGCTTTTCTTCAATGTTTAATCCATTACAATCTGGGCAGTTCGGTTTTAGTTACACCATTTCCTCAAGATTAATCTTTACGTGTGTGTTTTTTTTTGTTGTTGTTGTTGTTGTTTTTTGAGACAGGGTTTCTCTGTGGTTTTTTTGAGGCAGGGTTTTACTCTGTAGCCAAGGCTGGCTTGAGCCTCCTGACTTTTGGAATTACACTCTCAAAAGACGTGATTGGCATGATGGTCTATAACTTACTCACTTGGGCTATAATAGTGCATCTATTGTCCTTATTTAGTTCCTGTGTAGGCAGCCATATTGATGAGACTTCATGGGTGTAGCTTCTGCCATTCGTGGGAGACACTCTCCTAACAAAGCCTCTGCTCTCTGTCCCTCTTCTGCAATGGTCCCTGAGCTGTAGGTGTGGGAACTGTTTTATAGATTATCCAGTGGGACTGGACTCCACAACTCTGTATTTTGATTTTTTTCTATATCGGTCTCTCTTTGCCTGATGCAAAAGAAGGCTGAGGACTATTCTTATCTGTGAGTACAAGGGCAAATGTTTAGAACTACCCCTGTCTTCACTAGCCCTGTGTAGCTAGTTTTCTGGTACCAGCCATGGTTTCCCTAAACTTAAACTTTTGATCTTCCAGTCTCAACTTCCCATATTCTGAGATTTTTAAGCATGTGCCAGCATGACCAACTTTTCCTGAACTCTTTATTTTTATTTATTAATTTATTTATTTTGGTTTTTCGAGACAAGGTTTCTCTGTAGCTTTGAAGCTTGTCCTGGAAAGAGCTCTTATAGACCAGGCTGGCCTTGAACTCACAGAGATCCGCCTCCCTCTGCTTCCCTTGAGAGCTGGGATTAAAGGCATGCTCCACCACTACCCGGCTTTTCCCTGAACCTTAATATTCTGCTACATCCAATAGCACTCCGGGCCACAATGGTATTAGCCCCAACATCTTCAGAGTGCTTTGAAATTTACAAAATGTATTGGCCTGAGGATTTAGGATGGTAGTTTCATTTTATGCATGAGACAAAAGAATTGTGTGATTTGTCAGACAAAGTTATACAGTTGGTGAGATACAGGGCCTGGGCCTAAACTTAGCTTTCTCTCTCTAGATTCCCAGTGTTTACCTCAGTGACCCCCTCCCTTTCTGACCTCACGACATTATGATCTTCATCTCCCCTGCATCTCACAGGCATTAGTCATATACTACCTGTGACCAGCAGAGAGAGGGGTTTGAGAGTAGGGAACAAGATCTTAAAGACCTTCTGCTGTCTGATAAGTGTGCAGGTGATGAGCCAAATTACGTAGAACTCCTATTGGGAAAAAGACCTGTCAATGGAGGTAAGGGGGGCAGAGTCTGAGGAACGCAAAGGAACAGCAAGTGAACCTGAATGGCCTTGGATCAAGGGCCAAGTCACGGCAAGGGCTGGAGATATATCCTGTTTCTAATAGTTTGCTAATCCCCTGGCTACATCTATATAGAGGATGTTTGGGGAAGCTACATCCTCTCCTCGGGACACCTGCCTTAACAGACCCTTTCCTGAGTGAGTCCAGGACCCGCTGTTGGCTTCTGTGCTCACCCAAGAGTCTTAGCAATAGCTTGATCTCTAGAGTAGAGACAGTATTTTTCCAGCTGTGGCTTTTCTAGGCAGCTCCCTTTCTTCCTCGCAAGGTAACTGGATGACTCATGGCTCCTATGCTTGTTCAGCAAAGTCAGCTTCTTCTGGTCGATCAGCTCTGACAAGACAGAAAAGGCTCAGTTCTGGATCTGCAAAGTTGAATAGCAGCCAGATGTTAAGGTCTTAGGTTGCCCCCCACCCACAGATGGGGCATGACCTCAAATGTGACCCATGAGAATTGTCCTTTGTGACAACATAGTCTTATGACGTCGAGTCTTATGACGTCGCAGGCATTTGAGCTGCTTCAAAGGGTCAGGGCTCAGAAAATACTTGTGAAATGAAGCGAAGTGAGTTGACACCAGGCAGCAGCCACCTGGTGAGGCAGGTAAACCTCAGACCTCTCTCCATGTGGTCTTGGGAGCAAGCACAAGCACACTGTCATCTGAAAGAGTGCCCTGGTGGCCCCTTTCTCTCTGTCACATCTCTGGGCTCCTGGTTTTGCTTTGTATTTCAGACATCAGCAGTTCTTAGAAGTATGTACACTTCAGACCTATTGTCTGTCACCTTTTTTTTTCTGTTTGTTTGTTTCAAGACAAGGTTTCTCTGTAGCTTTGGTGCCTGTCCTGGGGAACTCGCTCTGTAGACCAGGCTGGCCTTGAACTCACAGAGATCCGCCTGCCTCTGCCTCCTGAGTGCTGGGGATTAAAGGCGTGCACCACCACCACCGCCCGGCTGTTAGATCTATCTTTATTTATGTGTGTCTGTGTGTGTATGATTGTCTGTGTGAGTGTATAACATGTGTGTAGGTATCTGCTGAGACCAGATGAAGACATTGGATTCCCTGGAACTGGAGTTCCAGGTAGTTGTGAGCCACCCAGTGAGGGCACTGGAAATGAACTTGGGTCCTCTGAAAGAGCAGCCAGTTCTCTTAAGCGTGGGGCATCTCTCCAGCCCCAAACCTTGTCTTGTTTTGTCTTTGATTGGACATTTGGAAAGATATGTTGTTGTTGTCATTTTAAAAAGAGACTACTGGCTTGGCATGCACCACAGGTCTTTAGTCCTAGCATCGGGGAGGCAAAGACATGGATCCCCTCAGAGCCAGTCAAAGCTACCATCATGAGATCCTGAGAGAGAAAGAGAGAGAAAGAGAGAGAGAGAGACACTAAGAAGAGCCAAAGTCTGTCACTTTTTTTAATATGAAAAGTAGAGAAAAATTTGTAAGTGTAGATTTCCTCTATAGGGCGTTTTAAAATGTGTATGAAATAAGAAAATACATTAAAAGGAATTCTTAAAAAGTATAGACATCTCGGATCATATTGCCTCACAAGGTTTCATGTCACTTTTCAGGTCACGGTTACATGAAAACATAGCTGCCTGCAGAAGTTGATCACAGGAGCGTTAATCCTTGTGTGTGTATGGAGTATGTCATGTGTGGGTGTGAATACCACATACATGGACATCAGAGGAGTCTACCTCTCTGCCATATTCTCTTGAGATGAGGTCTTTTACTGGACCTGAAACTTGAAGTTTTGACTAGACTTGGCTGACCACCGAGCTCCAGGAATTCACCCATCTTCATCCCCCAACACTGGAGTTAAAGTCGCGCATGGCCATTTATGGCTTTTATTAATCTGTGGTGCTAGGGAGTCAAACTCCGGTCCCCAGACTTTCACAGCGCGCGCTCTTAGCCGCTGAATTGTCTCCCTTAGTCCTGTGTTATTCCTTCTGTAGTCTGCCTTTCTTTAATTCCATGACGTTTTCCTATCATTGCCCAATAACGAGGATTTGTTCATCTTATTTCTCATGGTGTCGGGAGCTGACCCCGGTGCTTTGAGCATTCTAGGTAAGCACTGAGCTTCTACCTCTGCTCTTCGGGCTGGTTTTCAGCAGCTGAAGAGGAGTTTGCCTTCAGCCTGCACTAAGCCATTTGCTTGTGTATTTTGTTTTTGTGTTTTGGTTCTTACTGTTTTTTGCTAGAGACAAAGCTGCACTGAACATTCTGTATGATGGACTTTTCCTTTTGATCAATAACTTGTCTAGAATAAAATCTCAGGAGAGATATTACTGAGTTATAGGGTACCCTATATGAACATTTTGGGATTTATCTTATGTTGCTGTTTTTTCAGATGGGCTATACCAATGTGCACCAGCAGTAGGTATGGTTTCTAATTCCATTTCAACTTCTTGGTCAGAGCTTTGGTCTGCCCTTTAAGTAGTTTTAGATATATAGTATTTAGTGGGAAACCTGTAGGCTAACAGGTGTTTTCTAAAGCACAAAGCAAAAACCAAACAAAAACCGATTTGAGGATTACGGATTGATTACTAGTTGCCCCTCTTTC